CCCGCCCCCAATTCCTCCTCCTTTTCCGATTCCACCGCCAATGCCTCCTCCCTTACCAAATCCTCCACCGCCACCAATTCCTCCTCCTTTTCCGATTCCACCGCCTATGCCTCCTCCCTTACCAAATCCTCCACCGCCACCAATTCCTCCTCCTTTTCCGATTCCACCGCCTATGCCTCCTCCCTTACCAAATCCTCCACCGCCACCAATTCCTCCTCCTTTTCCGATTCCACCGCCGATTCCACCACCTTTGCCAATTCCGCCGCCAATGCCTCCTCCTTTACCAAATCCGCCACCGCCTCCAAGGCCCCCACCCTTTCCAATTCCCCCACCAATGCCACCGCCTTTTCCAATTCCGCCACCGAATCCACCGCCTTTGCCAATTCCTCCACCTATACCCCCGCCGGCACCACCTCCAGCACCACCTCCGATCCCTCCTCCGGCTCCTCCACCGTGTCCACCACCAAAGCCGCCGCCGGCACCACCGCCAGCACCACCTCCGACTCCTCCACCATGTCCACCGCCAAAACCTCCGCCGGCACCACCTCCGATCCCTCCTCCAGCTCCTCCGCCGTGTCCACCGCCAAAACCACCGCCAGCACCACCGCCTCCTCCAAACCCACCGCCGGCTCCGCCGCCACCGCCAAACCCACCGCCGGCTCCTCCGCCACCGCCAAATCCGCCACCTTTCCCCAAGAACGTTTTCTCCTCCTCGTATTTTTCGCTCACAACGTCTCTCGCGGACACATTCGCAACAAAAACATTGAAACAAAACAAAGCCAAGAGAACAACTCCATTGACGGCACGTCCCATTTTCACTCAGATTCGTAATCCCAGTGAGCACTGGCCGATGAGAGAAACCTAAAGTGAATTAGGGTTTATATAGTGACTAATCACTTCTCTATAGTAATTATAAAAAAAACTAAAATCATTGCATTTAATTTGCTCCAACTACCAACTGCTTGCCGCAAACTGTAAATGCTTTGACCTAATTCTTCTTTTAAAAAGATTTGTATGAGGCTGATGAGTTTTCATGTGTCACATGCATGTTTGGTCTATGTCTCGATTTATAATAACGTATCCTAGGGTCTTATATATATATATATATATTCATGCAATACATATATACAACAATTTCGTAAAAGCGAGCTATACAAATGAGAAATCTAATTTTTGAGTTCGATTCTATTTATAAGTGACTTAATTTCAAATTATGCAAAAACATGATGATATAATATGGAAGTTAAGTTATATAAAATTGTAATATCAGTTTTTGTGTATTCCGTGCGTATGAGAAATTCTATATACCGCTTAATTGTGTGGGGAATTTATCATTAGCTATATAAGAAATTCTATATATCATTAGCTAGAAAATATTTAAGCCATTTTCACGATGGACCAAACACAAAAGTTAAATTTATTACTATACCTATAAAAATAAATCTGAACGTAAATCACAACTTCTAAATCAGCCAATAGAAATCTACCCTTTAGGTAAACTATATATTAAATACTTAATTCAATTATTTTTCGGTAAAAAAACTTAGAAAATGAAATCCAAAACCATATAAGATACACAATAATATTCCAGGTCATAAGCACAATTGGACAGGTAGGTCCAACTTGTTGGAATAAATTGTTAGAGCCTATTTCCTTTCTCAAGGATGGTTATTGCGTTTTTTTACGCAATATTCACCTTCAGATATCACAAATATATATTTTTTGACAATGTCATTATTATAAAGGAAAAATCCTTAAAAAATCTCGAATTTGCAAAAAAAAAAATATACAACTTGTAAAGATGTCATTTAAACCTCAAACTTGCAACATGTAAGTGAATAAAACCTCGGATTTGCAAATTGTTGTTCTAATAACCCGTTGACCGGTTTGACCATAATTTTAGATAATCGGAAATTTACGTTGTTTATAAAGCTGATGTTAGTGTGTCCACATAACCAACTTTAAATGATTTTTTGATCCAAAACCGGATTTATTTACTCTCAAACCGGATTAAATTTTGATCCAAAAAATATTGATGTGGTAAAAAAATCATTTAAAGTTGGTTACGTGGACACACTGACAACAACTTTCCAGACCAACATGGATTTTCGTTCGCTTGAAATTGTGATCAAACCGATCAACGGGTTATTAGAATAACAATTTGCAAGTTCGATGTTTTATTCAATTACATATTGCAAGTTTGGGGTTTAAATGATATCTTTATAAATTAAAAGTTTATCTGTATATTTTTTTGCAAATTTGATATTTTTTAGGGATTTTCCCTTATTATAACTTTCTCATTAGATTGAATTGCTATTTCAGAAATTATAGACATATTACATATCGAATTTCAGATAGTCCAACTAATTACGTAAACTTATAATATCGATATGTTGTAAGTCACTGGGCTAAGAGTCAAAGTTTTTTTTAAATTTTTTTTTGTTAGAAGAAATTAATCGCAGTAAATTTTATTTATGTTGGTCGTCGTACCACTGAGAATTTGTCGTACCGAATCCATGTGCGAGTTAGATGGACAAATTTATTGCAATTTTGAAAAACAGACTGTCGTCATTTATTTTCTATTTGATGATTTCCCAATGAAAAAAAAAAACATAAATACGATTCTAATTATAGGATTGGATTTTTCAAACCATTCAAAGAATGCGACGTCTCGTTCTCAGAAACTCGGTTTTTTCCGAGTTATCTATTGCCCATATATTATATATATATATATATATATATATATA